ACATCCTATCAACAATAAGATGTCCCCTATTCAAGCTAGCAGCCACGCTCCTTAACAGAGTTTGGGGTGGTTTTATTAATTCCTACACCATGCACTAGACCTCACAACCAAGGTTGACGGGAATTCTTGGGGTGTTTCCATACTTAATTTCCACTAGCTTTCTGTGTGGGATCCCGCGCGCGCGCGCTGAAAAAGCGTCCGAAAATAATGTCGAAACCCCGGGGATTTTGTCAAAATGTCCCCGACCGGGGACTTATAAGCCCCATCCCCCCCCCCCCCCCGCGACCAAGATTACCACGTAGCCCAGGGTTGTTCCGACGTTTCCAGATGGAGGGCCCCTTGAATTACCAGCCAAGAGGGCACTGCACGTGGATTCAAATACATACATACGTGATGCACACCCCACAACAACTGATCAGGGGGAGGGATGGGGGGAGGTCTGTTATATACCGTATACATACATAGATACTTGTAGGAAATAGTGTGGTATAGTATAACCTATACATGTTCTATTGTATAGCATTTAGTATGCATGCATATTGCTATTCGAAAGCTTACACCTCTGTTACGTACTTACTTCTTGAAGTTAGGTTTACACCGACCGCTGCTTGCTGTGCGTTGGTTGTGTGGGTACATTGCACGTAGTAGTAGTAGTAGATTTAGTGTTTGTAGTAAATAAGCCTTATTACTTACTACTACATGATGCTGCTGCTGCTGTGAACCCTGTCTTCTCTATAAGGAACACAGCAGACGGGGTGCTTGCTTGCTGATACCCTTCCTTGCTGTTGCAGGAGGACCACATTGATTGATTGATTGATTGATTGCTGCTGCTAAAAGGGGCGACTAAGAAAGGTCTAGGATTTGGTGTGGTCATATTCACCTCTCTCTCTATTCTATGGGTTTTATTATGTTACTACACTAATAAAGCCTATACCTTATGGAATACTAATAAAGCCTATACCTTATGGAATATACAGACTTTTCATTATAGTCTAACCATTCTAAGTCCTATACTACAATAAACGCCTTGACCAAACTGGATTGAGCGCCTGAAAA